ATAATTTTCATATTTTTCATATTGTGGAAGGTAAAAATACCCAAAAAAGGTCGATAGTATATTTATATTGTTGGATTAGTTTTGTTATTCAAAAACTCTATATTCAGTATACTTTCTATAGAAAGGCAGAAAAGGCTTTTTCAAGAATAGTGAAATTTTCATAGAAAATTACTTTCAATAATTTACGATTATTGAATCAAGATTTGAAATATCATCTGAACCATGGAACCATCCACTGAAATAACTGGAAAGTACCCTAATATTTCAGTCACTACTTATGTTCACCATTTTTCAGAATTTTATTTTACCTCAATACTTAGTTTCAATTAAAACTTTGCAGGAGAGAATAATATACCTGTTGGTACTGCATATATCAATAAAACTGAAAGTATTTGTTAGGATTCAACCGATAGTGTTTAAATTATATACATTATCTTAAGTCTGTGAGATTGTGAAAGTAAACAATTTATTTTCATTCATGATGTTACTTCAATAAACAAGTATTGCAAGTATCAGAAATCTAACAAAACTACTTTGTGACTGAATTGAACTCAAAACTACTTACCATTCTTATCTCTTCTGTATGCTAATAGATGAAAAAATCAGGATCAGAACCACTTTCATTTTTGTTTATTCAGTTTGGAAACTATTTGTTGAATCACATACAAATACTTCAGATATTGGTTGAATATGTTGTAGTATATTTTATTGTCAATTGTTATTGTTGAAACTAGCACTGATCAATGCTTGATTAATGAGGATGGAAATGGTAGATTAAGGAATGATATACATCTAGAAAGGAGGGTATGTATTTTATTTACTGAGAGTTCTTCATAAAAAATTCAAATATCAAATATATTTGAAATCATTATCGTGAATAAAACCATACAGCAGATATTGAATAATCCAGCTCTGGAAAAGTTATTGATNAGTTTTTTTCTTTCCACAATATTGTAGTATCATCCGCGAATAGAGTGAAACTACCAGATATGTTAATCATAGATATGTCATTCATATATAGCAGAAACAGAATAGGGCCTAACACAGAACCCTGTGGTACACCAGATTCAATGACCCTGTTCTCCGAGAGTTCCGTTGTCCTCACCATTTGACTCCGACCTGAAAGGTACGATTCGAACCAAGTGTTCGTTACACCTCTACATTCATATTTACGAAGTTTTTTTAATAAAATTTTATGATTGACGCAATCAAACGCCTTTGAAATATCACAAAAAATTGCGGCGGCTACTTCACCAGCATTCAATTCACAGTAAATTTCATATAAAAAAGACAAGATAGCATCATTTGTATCTTTTTCATCTTGAAACCCAAACTGGTTTTTGTTTATAAGTTTTAAGAATTCATCTAAACGTACTTTGATTAATTTCTCAATAATTTTTGCTAAAGTCGGTATTAAGGAAATAGGACGTAGATTGGAGGGATAATCTAAATCACCACCTTTAAGTAGTGGAATGACAACGGAAGTTTTCAGGGAAGAAGGAAATGAGTAGTGCGGTAAATTTCAGAGGATCTGTATCAACTCGACGTATAGACTTGAAAAATTATGCTTCTCCATAGGAGTTACGTCTCAAATGCATGAAATGCATGTTGCTTAGATTTGCAGATCTCATTTCAAATGGTTAATGATTGAACAACTTACCACCATTATAGTATATAGAATCCTTGATTAAATTCGAAGTTGGGATGGGAAGTCTAAAGGTATAATTGCTATTAGAAGTAGCATAAGAAGTAGAAGCAAAGTTGAACTTTGATTTATTTATAAATAAGGCAAGCCGTCTTTATGATGTTAATTTTAATTCAATTCAATGTCGCTTTGGCATGGACTACTGTTTGAGTAGAAATAAAATAAAATCGTTCTTTTGGCAAAAAACCATTTTCAAATAATGGATGGAAATATGTCATTGAATTCGATTTAATAATTTCTATCGAATACAGGATATTCCATTATATCCGTCCATATGAAAAAAAGTGATGAAAATTTCTGAAGGATGAAACATCGGAATCAAAATATGAGCACTGCCTGTTATAGAACACGCATGTTTACTGGCGATATCTCGCCAGATATCTCCGTTGGAAATTCATATCCATGTGGGTCTCACAGAATAAAACTATTGTGTTTCTGTAATGAGTTTGTGAATTCCTGATTCCACTATTGAAAAAATATCATGGAAACAAATATTTTTTCGTCATCGAGATGGTAGTGAATCATAATGTAATATCGAACATTAACAGTTTATTGCGAGGTGTCACGCTTCGTTTTCTGACATTTTAAGTTTTCATCATATGAATTATTTCTAAACATAAACAAACGAGGTACAAAACAACACCACATGCTATGAGAGAGATCTCTGTAAACTCGCCAGAATATTGACATTCCGAAGCCATATTATTTGTTTTGATTATTTTATTCCGTATCACGGTTAGGTATGCAAATAGACGTCAGATAAATCTTCTTCTTTTGTTCACTTACAGAACTTCAAAGAGTAATGTTATTGAGTCAGGGAATTCATTCTTACCGTGTAGAGTCAAATTAGAAGGTAGACACAGAGACAGTTGTTTATTTTTATGTCAGTCTTAGAATCGGTGTACTTTGTTTATATGTCTATTTTATTAGGTGAGAGAAGAGTTTGTACTTCGGACTGGTACCTATTCAATGTAGATAGAATGAAATTGTGAAAAGGTCTTTTCTGTGCTTGACTTTCTAAGAGAGAACAACTAGTGGTGACAAAATAATTATTAAATTTTGATAGTCATCCATATCAGTTGATTCCAACTATTATGGTTTTCATGGATTGTAAATTGAATGGGTATTATAGTGAATGATGTAATCGTAAATTGAAACTTATAGTAGAATCAATTGAAATTTTCTGACAGTAGTTTTTTAATCTAGTTCTGCCAAGTGGAACTAAATGTTAATCTGAATCTAAGATAAAAAAACAAATGAAAATCGTAATAACAGTTAAAACCGAATCAAAATAATTGAAAAAAAAGGAGTCTGCCGGAATCCAGGATCACCTGCATCAGTGAAGTCGGAGTGGAAGATTACCAGTCATCGGTTTTTGGTTATTGATGGTTTCAGAGAATAATATTTCCATCTGAGAATGTGAGGTTTAATGCAATAAACCCTTGGGTAAGATCTTGTATTCATTAGATATTCTCATCGAGGCTATCATTGAACAAAAACTCATTATAAACCACCGACACTCTGGTTCATTTAAACAAGAGTCAGTCTCATTTTTTATTTGATTCATCAAATTTTGTATTGAACCGTTTTTTTTGTTTTATTGGTAATCTGGAAGTGTCTCCTAACCCTGTGTAGCAACGTTGATCTACAGTGACGAGTGTTGAAAAGGATGCACTATTTCTATAAACTTCTGTAGATGGCGCCCAATTAAGGACTTGGTTTTGGTAACCTTTTTCAGCACCCAGTATTGAGCTTCTATAAGGAATTTATGAAACGAACCACGCTCTTGCCTCCACATAATCCGCAGCTAATCGTGGCACTTGTACCGTTATCTTACTCTGAATTCAGAAAAAAGTAAAGTAACATTACAAAGTGCCTATACGCATCCAATGCTCCATTCTCGATAAAGACTAACTCCGTGCCAGCGTCAAACGATATGCTTTCCAATGCCATAACAAATTCAATCTTGCAATTTGGTGTTAACAGGAAAGCGGCGGTCCAGTAGCTATAATTCGAGGCGATAATCCAGCAGCATAGAGTTGCCTCCCAACTGTCAATTCAGTTATGTTGATATGTCTTACTTCTTGCAGATGAATTTGAAAGGAAACTGCCGCAGGTGTTCGGTTTCTCAAAGCCCTAGATACGACAAAGAGGTCATCTCTAGCTGTTGTAGTCCTGCCTCGCCCTGAACCAGGTCTTCAAATTATCAGACCAGTTCCGTGGTACCGCCGTCATACTCGTTGTACACTCGAAAGACTTACACCAACGTTTCTTGCAGTTTGGCGTCGTTTGCAGCCATTTTCCAGAACTGCCATAATTCTAACCGCAACAACAAAATTCATGTTCATTTCGATACACCAACATTGAAACATTACACAAACAAAAACACTTGACACATAAAACTATAAAAAAAGTATACTAATTGCGGTTTTCTGAAATTAAGCGAGGGCTAGTTGTTTGTCAAACGCTAATCGCAGAAACAACAACTATGTTTTCACTAGTAATACCACACATGGCAGTGTAGTAGGTACTCCGTCTACACTGGCAATAACGGTTACCTTATATGTCATTCGATACAAATGGACACGCGCTTTCAGAATATACGAAGCAGTGATACACTTGTTGCTTTTTTGCAATTCTATGAAGATGTTATATGAGTAGTCATCATTTACCTAACATTTCATGACTTCATCAATTGTAAATTTCTTTAAAGAATGGAAAATCAAACTGAATTTTTGATCTGAAAAAAGATGGTGAAGTAAATCTCACCATAGAAACACATATTGAAACAAAAGTTCGAATCATATACAGTGAAAAACGATCTTTTCACTTGATTATAATAAGTTTCAAACAAATCAGCTCATTTATTCAATTATCGATTAAACTCACATCGTTTTCAGGATTATCTCGCATAATCTGGAGTTTTGAATAACCGCAATACCTGTTATACTAAACGTATATGATGGTGTATTTGACCATCAAACCATTCGATTCCCTCCTCCTGTTATACTCTTGATTTGCTTTGGAAAAAGTTATATCAAGAAACGATGAAGCTTTCACTTACCTGAGCAACTTTTTCACCCATCTTTGGAGTATGGATTCCGCTTTGGAAATATTTAGCTGATCCATTGTCTTGAAATGAAAACTGAAATGAAAATGATGAATCAGAAGAACGTTCTTAAAGGGCGAGAAGGTTAGTGAATTCAAATTTGTATTTTATGCATTTCATCAGTTCGGACTTTCATTGTCTGATATGATATAGATTGATTTAAAATTCCTGGAAGAATCCATTAAAATTAAAAAGATCAGCCGAAAGATAACAATAATATTAAGCAAAAAACTGAAATTACAATGAAATGAATTCCAAGCAACAATCAAAATTTGAACTAGTAACAAGCAATGAAAATTAAAAACTATCAACAACAAATGAATTTTTCAATTTTTAATTGAACTATTAACAAGCAATGAAAATTATGAACACGAAATGAATATTAAAAATTTCAATAGTTCAATTTTTCCTTGTTGCTTGTGATTTCAGTTTTTCTGCTCAGTATAATTGTTATTTTTTCGCTAATCTTTGTAATTTTCAAAGATTATTTCAGGGATTTCAAATCAATTCATATCATACAACATGATGGAAATCCAAACTCATAGAATGCACCACGAAACATTGTCAAACACCTTCAAACAAACGTTGAATTTTATGTTCAATATAAATCCTTTCAGAATTGATTATATTCAATTTTTATAGAAATTCTTGTATATATTTGGTAGATATGAAAATATATCGTGGAGTTTTTTTCATAACACTCAGTAATTATAGTATCCCTATTCATTCTTCGGGCAATTTTTTTGATTTGTTTTGATATGGCAGTAAATTTGGAATATTGATGAGATTTTCATTATCTGTTTTTCTATTCATACTCTTCGGGTTCTTGTTGATTCAGATCATTTCAAGTAAAGATATAATTAATACTAAGACTTGGACTGTCGGAAGACTGTGTGTCGCCTCTGTCTGGAAAATGATGAAACTGCAGAGCAGTTGAGTTCGGCAGATCCATATCCTCACCATCTGACCTCAAAGACCACTCACCATACAAACTCATCGGCTTCGTTTAGAAGCTGGGTTTATTTGGTCGAGTGTGAATAGGTGTGAGCCACAATAAACCCTTATGGGTTGCGGTGGAGGGTCGAATAGACCCACTCACTTTAGACCTACCTACTCCACCAGGGTCCTCTTATCCTCGTCCTGGATTCTTCTTCGACCACTTCGGGCGATTTTATCGATTGTGCATTATTCGAACCAAATAGAGAAGAATTCGCAACAGGCGAAAGAATCTTCGAGTGACCCGTCCGTAAATGAGAGTACCTGTATCTGTAGAGTGGGGAGGGTGAGTGTAGGCCCACATCACTTAGGCCACATGTGATCCATTGTACATCGTCCCGAGGAGTTGTCCTTCTGGGTCATCGTCCATCCTTTCCTTTCCAGGAAGGTGGACAAGTCTCTGGGGGACATCTTTATATCGGCAGGTGTAGGCCAAGACTCGCCAAATACACACTCTCTTATTGACGATAACAACGGACATTCGCATAGGACAAGCCTGAAAGTTTCATATTCCTGTTCACACATCCTGCATAGAGGTGAGTCCACTAGCCCCATATTATGGAGGTGTTTTCTCAGTTGACAGTGGCCAGTCAGAAATCCTACTGTTGGGCGTAGATTCTTCCTGGTCATCGCCAGATATTTCTTCTGCGCCAGCTTCCCAGGGTCGCCCAGGGTTATCCTGGCAAGATTTCATCATTTGATTTCATCTAATGTCTTTGGGGATTGAGCATGGGTGTGACGTTTGGCTAGTTCCGCAATTGTTGAAGTCATCAAGCCGTAGGCGCCACTGGGTCCTAAAATTCTTAGACAAAGAAAGTAGTAGAACAAGCTCAGCAGAAACAGTTAGTATACAGATGGGAACCAAGCATGAACTGGAACTTTAAATTACTGTGCAAGAAGACATCTTCGTTCCTTTCAATTACCCACTTGGTCAATACACTTCAGTTTTCTAGGGTGCTAGGGTAAAACGTATGCAAGTTTTCGATCCGAAAGGAACATTTAGGTCCAAAACGAAAAGAAAATATTAATATCTTTACAGACAGATATACCTGAGTCAATAAGAAGACAGCAATATACCGGGTGTCAACGAATCTATTAGACAAGTCATAATTTCTAGACTATNGACATCTTCGTTCCTTTCAATTACCCACTTGGTCAATACACTTCAGTTTTCTAGGGTGCTAGGGTAAAACGTATGCAAGTTTTCGATCCGAAAGGAACATTTAAGTCCAAAACGAAAAGAGAATATTAATATTTTTACAGACAGATATACCTGAGTCAATAAGAAGACAGCAATATATAGATCATATACCAGGTACTACAGGCACCAAAAAGTTGAGGAGTCTGCCAGACATGAATCGTCAACTCCATATTTAGGCCGTGACCCCCAGGTGTGGGGTGACCCCCAGGTGTGGGGGTCACCAAAATAATTTTTTCACACACACGGAAAAACCTTCATGAAGGAACCATCTTGGATGAGAACCGAAGAACTGCCTCAACGAAGCAGATATCTTTCCGAAACAATTATAGGGCTACTTAGACTAAGGAAAAATAAGGACAGCAATTGAATACTTGTATGTTTCTTAAAAACACCACGAATCCTAATAATCAGATTTTCATACGAGTATATTGCAAGGCTTTTTCTAGACATGGAAATTTTGTGGAAACTTGTTCAACTAGACCTAGTTTCAATAAATCTGTTGTGTGTTTTTCCGTACACTTCATTTGTTATTTCATGTTTGTGAATGGGGAACGATTAAGACAGAACTTGAGTTTTGACAAAGTTGACTGGACACGAGCCATCGAAGAATGAATATTTAGGGTATTTGATATTATGGACATTGAAATCTCTAGATATTTTGTCGCTTCAATTTGCAAAAACCTGATGGTGTGCCCTATATTTTCTGTCACTTACATGTAGACAGACAACTTGTGAATCCACTGACTTCATTTGATGCTTTCTTATACCATACGACATCAAAATTTTGATGTTATAGTATTTCCTCTTGTTGCGGACGACAAAAGAGGTTACTTCAGATGAGAATGGCAGTTCCAAAGATATGTCTGAATCGGGAATAGATGCCTGGATGTAATAGACGAGGTTTGTTATACAACTGAATTTGGTTTAGGTAAGTTACTGGATCAGTTAGCAGCTACAATTGATATGCTATTTTCTAGCTTGTTGATAGCAGAAATATCTTAATGATCATTGTAGAAAGTTGTTTTGAAATAACCTCAGCAAAATAGTATATCCGGATATTCGAATTGGAAGCTAATTTATCTCCTGATAATTTTGAACTTTTCATCTAACAGCATCATCATGCAATTTTTTCTGTTTCATTTCCAGCTTTGAAATTGAAAGTGAAAATGCTCGAAAGCAACTTCAGGCTGCCTATGCCGCTAAAATCATATCTCACCAGTCGACACTGGAAGGAACCAGCATATACTGTTATCGCCGAGAGGGTTACCTGGTTGATATTTGATGTACCAGTCTTTCATATCTTCGAAATTACAGTCAAATCAAACAATTCGAATCTGAATCACTAGTTCTTTGCTTAGTTTCGGAGGGAAAAAAATACCTGAATTTTTTCAAAATAGTAATTATATCCAAAGTGGAAGTGAAATAGAAATCGAGTTCACAGCCTCTTTTGTCTCTAATATGCTTTTATAATTTCATGAAGGAAATGTAGAAACACCCTGTTTTTCTAAATGAAACCATTTTTTATAAAATATTACACAAAACCATTTCCGAAATTTATAATCATTCCTCCAAATACACTCTTTATAACTATGAAAACCATTCATGATGATAATTTAATCACAAAACGATTAGAAACTGTAAATGAGTCTGAAACGTTCAGAAATTTTTGAAAAATCGAATATAAATTTCAGAATTGGAAGGAGTGTATTCCTAGGATAGATTAATTTTTGTGGGTGAAAGGTTTTGGCTTTCTACTTCTCCATCTTTAAACAAATCTTCCAAAGGAATCTTCCAAAGAAAGGAAAATACTTTCTGAACAACTACTTTTATGCTAACAATGGATAATAAAAAAACACTCTCCTCTATTCAGTTCGTATTCCACAAACAACACCGAATTGAATCAGATATTTTTCACATGATTGCTACACAATATAGACCAGGGCTGAAGCCTTCAAAAATTTTGAAAGGTGAAAAGAAAATAATAGTAGGATGGAACTCATTAGAAAAGGAGGAGAATATGATAAAAATGAAAGGAAAAAAAAACATTTTTTTACAAAGAAGAACCAGGACAAAATAATAACTTGCTTCAAACTATTTGCTACAGCTGTGAAACTGGATGTAACAGTTTGAAATATGGATGTGGAAAATATGGTTTGAAATGCAGAAATTCATGCTCAAATTGTCATAGCTCCAATATGGAAGAAAAAACCTACGAGGAAGTTAATGATTCAGATCAAATTGTGGATGATGAACAAATGAAGACTGAAAATGAATGATATTGGAGACGAAAAAGGTGATGGTCTTCAAGATTTCAAATATCAACTAGAATTGGGAAGGTTTGTCGAATCAAACGATGAAGAAATGCCATCAAAGAGATAAAAACTGATGGATGAATGAATAAAATTCAAGATGAGGTATTTATAAATAACAACATCAACGTTTTTGAAAATATTATAATCAATAACGTAATCAGAATGAGGTATCGAAATTCAATAGTACGATTTACATGTATATTTATATTTTATGAGATTTTCTAAGACATGAATGTAATCGAAATTAAATAAATTAACATTTTATCCGAATGAAATTGTACATAATGACTGAAAAAAAAAATTCGAATTCAAATTTCGATTTTTTGCATTTTCTGAAAACTTTTACTATAATACTTTATGCACTCTTACTATAAGTATATTTTTCACACCATCAGAAAGTAGTAATTTCAACGAACAAAAAGCACACCAACTCTTTGGAAAAAGCTGTTATTTTAACGCGAGAATTTTGGATTGAAAATTAGGGTACTTTTTGATATTAACTCAAAAAATTAATATTTTGAATCAAA